CCATGTGCCACAGTCTACCTTGTGGCCACAATTCACATCCTTTTTCATGCAAGATGTGTTCATCTTCTCCCAACAAACCACAAAAATATCATACCATCATGACTTCATAATCAGGCTTGAGACCCAAGATCTTATCTAAAGGCTCCTCAGATGTGCTTCCTCAAGTATAGCACATTGAGTACCATTCTTCTTACTCCAAAGGCCTGAGAACCAAAGTGGTAATTATCCCCCCTACTCCCAACAACAAATGGTGGTACAGTCTTAGAATAACTTCAGCAGACATACACTTTCCAAAAAGGGGGAAAATAGAAAGCATGCAGCAGTCTCTGGTCCACAGCAATTCTGAAATCCAGACAGGTAAATATTATAAAGTTCCTTGATTAGGGCTCAATTTTCCTCTCCAGGGGTTGTTCTCCACATCTCTTGGCTCTGCCTTTTGTGCTCTTATTTCCATCCTCTGAGCTATCCTTCCTTTTTCATTAAAAAAAAAAAAAAAAACCAGTATGTATTTATAACTGAGTAGTTTTCTCAGCCTACTGCCCACCCATAAAAACTTAGGAGTACAAAGACTTTATTTTCCTTTTGTACTATCTCTTTCAGTCTAAGCTACACATACACAATTCTTTAAAAAACATTATGGGTTTCTTATGTATCAGTTTATAAAATCTGCTCCATTAGAAGACATTCATTGTGAGGTCACTATGGAACAGCACCTCTAATAGTGTTAGAAGTCCTGTTGTTTAATGGAAAGGACCTGAAATGCGTACCCTTAAAAGGCGATCTTTTATCTGCCTGAAAATGTCTAAAAATACTGCCTTAGATCTTTTTGAGGTCCTAACAAAGGATTTTACAGTCCCATTCCAGATTTGATTTTTACACCAAAGTCATTTCATAATTTGAAAAGCTGTTGCCATCTGCAAAATAGTATGGGAATGAGAAACAGCCATGGCTCCTTCATATTTAATTTCTCATTCTTTAGTTCATCTCTCTCCTCTTACACTTTGTCATAGGCAGCAAGAAGCAGCCAGAGGGTACTTTTCATATTTTATCTAGACAATTCCTTGGCCAAATCACCGAGTTTATATGGTACATTTTCTATTTCCCATGTCGCCGTAACATCAGTTTTGCCAGACTTTCCACCACTACATAACAAGGGTCCCCTTTTCTCGCATTTTCAATTGCATTTTTCTTACTCTCCTTCACCCTTCACCAAAAGTATCCTTGAGACTCTAGGCTTCTGCTAACATCCTCTGCAAGGCCTACAGATTCATGAACAATCTCCTCAAGGCCCTTCCAGCTTTCCATACAGTGGTTTAGACTTATTTTGGTACTTATACATCCAGACACCAAAATCTGTTGGTTACTATTGTTGTATAACAAAATCGCCCCAAAGTTTAATGGCTTAAAATATTTACAGTATTATCATCTCTGATGGTTTTTGTGGGCCATGAATTCCAAAGCAACTATGTGGGCAGTTTTGGCTTGGGATTTCTCATGCAGTTATAATGAGATGACGGAACAAATTGGAGGGCTTAAGAGCTGAGGGCTGGATGCTCGATTAGAGCATCTCTTCATGGAGTCTCAGCACTTCCCCACATGATTTCTTCACAAGGGCTAGTTTAGGCTTCCTCATTACATGGCCGCCTCAGGGAAGTCAGATTGCTTCCATGCCAGCACAGGTATCCAGTACATGTATTCCAGAGATTAAGGCAGGATTTTCATTTCTTTTTATTACCTTTTCTGACATTGTCTTGGAAGTTACAGTGTCATTCCTACTACACTCTATTGGTTTAAGTGAGTTACAAGTCCACCCAGATTAAGGAGAAGAGAATTAGACTCTACAAGGCAAGGTTCTGGAAGACCATGGGATGAATATTGTTGTGGCCATCCTTGAAAAAAACAATCTGTTACAGTGAATGAAGAATGGAGACAAAAGGAAATAAATAAGTACTGCATGAATCAGTGCTGAAGGTGAGCCATGAACTGAGGTCTGTTTGACTCAAACTCCTGCAATTGAGTTCCATTTAAACGCACCTCAGAAACCAGGATTCTCACTGGTCTAAATATCACAACCAGCCAGTGTTTCCCCCAGAAAGGACCATCTACAGGCTTCCTTTAATCATTCAAGTGGGCCAGACTTATTTGTTCTAGCTTTCTCTCAGCTACTATTTTGATTACCATGTTAAGTAGCTGTTTAGCCCCTGCTGCTGTTCTAAAGGGAAAATGCTCTCAAGTGTCTTATTTTCTAGCCTCAACTCTTTCTGCATTTAGAAGTCCTAAGTTTCCATATTTCCTCTCACTTCTTAAATAACTGTACTATTTTTGAAAGAGAATCATATCTTTAAACCTTCATTTTTCCTGTGATTCAGTCATTCAGATTAAAGTCTCTGGGTGAATATAAACTACATTCTTAAGGAAGCCAGAAGCTTATTTCTTCCACATAGTTGAAAACCACACCAACAAGTAAAGCGCAGTCTTAAGCAGACATCTTCAGAAAGCCTTACGGCAAAGGATCTATAGGGGCCTAGCAAGAAATGATAGCCAATTAGAGCTTCTATGCAAAACGAAACACTGTTCCCTTACAATGGTACTTCAAAAAGTTCATGGAAAATGGAGTTAAAAGATAGTATGAATCTTTCCACGTACTTTTTGAAGTCCTCTCGCAGCTCCTTCTTTATAGTTATTTTGCGAGTGAAATATAGATCTTCAGACTCTTAAGTCATGCTGCTCTTTTCCAAGTTCTTACACTTACCCATCAAGTACCCAAACAGTAAGTTAACTGTTTATCTCAGATGTCACAATCACAAGCTCAACCCAGAGCTTTTCATTTTCTCCCCAAACAGATATGACTCTCTCCACTTCCGCATCTTCCCTTTCGCTATAAATGGCACCCTTGTGCATCCAGTTATTTACCCCCCAGGCTCAAGGAAACTATCCTTTATTTCTCTCTCACAATTCTAGGTCACTTCACAATTTGACTTTAAGATGGTGTGAAAGGGATATGCATCCAGTAGAAACCATACTTTGAGTACCCACAACCAGTTTTTCACTTTCAGTACTGTATTCAATAAAGTATGAGATACTCAACACACTTCACTATAAAATAGGCTTTCTTTTAGATAATTCTGCCCACAACTATTGGCTAATGTAAGTATTCTGAGCATGTTTAAGGTAGGCTACGCTACCTATGATGTTTGATATGTCAGGAGTATTAAATGCATTTTTGACTTAGTATTTTCAACTTAGGATGAGTTTGTCAGGACATAACCCCATCATAAATCAAGGAGCATGTGTATTCTCACCAAGTCTCACTGCCTATTTCAAATCTAAATGCTTCTGTCTCTACTACCTTAGTCCAAGCCACTATGACCTCTTACCTGGACCACAGCAAGTCTCCAAATTACTCACCCTCTTTCCATGTTTGCCCTACCTTAATCTATTCACTCAGCATCCAGAAGGTTCTTTTAAAATACCAGACCAAGTCTGAAAATCTGCTCACCATGGTTTTAGGGCCTCAAATAATCTTGCTTGGGCCTACCTCTGAACCTCATCCCCTACCCATCCTCTTTGCTCACTAAGCTCTGCTCAGGGCCTTTGCACCCATTTCCTCTGCCTGGAACTGCTGCCCTGCATATATTCCCATAGCTCGTTCTCTCACTTGTTTCAGGTCTCTGCTCAGATGCTACCTTCTGCAATCTTCCCTCAACATTCCATGCAAAATGTCATTTCCCTCCACCCTTTTCAAATCCTTACCCTGCTTTATTTATTACACATAGAAATGATCACTATCTGAAATTATATATGGTATTTATGCCTAACTAGATTTTAAGCTCCATGAGGGCAGACTTAGTATTCCCAGTGCTTAAAATAGTCTCTAGTATGTGGCAGGAACTTAACCATTTTTGAATCAATTAATCCCTACATTGTTAAACTGGAGAAAAATTAGGCAGCAAAACCTCCTAAGCTTGCTACAATTAGTGAGTACACTCAGGCCACTTCTCTTTCTATGCATTTTACCCAGATGCCACTGCCAAAATTGAATATGCTAGGTATCAATATTACATATTAAGAAAGAAAATTTCATTTGCTGAAATCAGTTGATTTATCCCCACAATACTATTTAACCAATCTTTGAAGAACAAAACCTGTTCTCATTAAATACTTTAATATATCTTCAAGTCCATGGGCATTTAGTTCAAGTGAGGAAACATAAGTAACTTAAAATTTTAGGACTATAAGTTTCAGACCAATTCTTCTAAAAATCTGAATTGGTCAAAGCAGAAACCATATATGTAGATGTATAAACAAGTCATAATTCTAACCTGCTAATTATTGCCTTAGGACATTATAAACAATTTGTCTTTCTTCCTGCATCTAATTTGTACTTAGGAGATCTTTTATTAAGACATTCTGGATCTTGGTTTTTATCACAGTTGGCAATATTTCCAATCTAACTCATGAATCCCACCTAATAGCTTCTTACAGAGAATTTAATCACTTGTCTCCATATTTAAACAGCCCAGACATTATAAAGATATGAAGAAGAAGGGGGAAAAAAGCACTAGAGAATGGAAAGAAGGTTAAACTGAAAACCTGGGAAATATTAAGAAAGCAATGCCTGAATCTTTCGAGTTGATTATCAATTACAGTAACCATATTATTTATATCTTGGTTTACTAAAACAAATCACATTTATCATTTTGAGAATGATTTTAATCATTTCCACCCCAAAGATTTGAGAAGGTAGGATTTAAGATTCAAGCGAGTCTTTTTCCTTTGTTTCCTGGAACATCATTCAGTCATGGCAGCACTGATGGTAAAGTAGGGGTTGCAGAGTCACCTACACAAAGTATTTAAGTCACTGTTCATAAGGAGGCTTGATTTTGTCAATTAATTCTGCCTTCCCCAATTCACAAAAGCATGACCTTAATACATATATATTTTGTTTTATTTTTAGAAGTTACACATTTAACATTTTTATTATTTTATTCTAATTAATATTAAGCACATTAAGTGAAGATATTTTCACTTATGACAGTTGAAACAAAAACTTTGTGAAGCTAAAGCAATGCATAATCTTCAATTCAACAAGAGATGCTCAGATACCTGAGGACTGAACTTCCCATTCTGTATTAAGAAGCAGATCATTCAAAACTATTACAAAAATTCAGACACTGAAGCTCCTTAGCTAATAAAAGTTTATGCATTTGGTATATCTACTTCATTTTTAACTTAAAAAAACACATAAATGTTAAAAGTTTTGATACTAATGAGTTATAAATGTTACCTAAAAAATCAGACTTTGTATGGTCATTGGGGAATGTTTAAAACATTCAGCACACATTTTCCTCTTTCTATAAATTCTTAGATTAGAAAGCACAAGTTTTGGGATTTCTCACTTGGCAACTGATCTTAATTTAAGACTGAGTTAGACTCCCTCCCTCACCAAAAGTAAAACCCAGTTTTTCTCAATAAGTATTAGAGTCCCTGCTCTTAAAATACTGCCTAGATTAGAAAGCACAAGTTTTGGGATTTCTCACTTGGCAACTGATCTTAATTTAAGACTGAATTAGACTCCCTCCCTCACCAAAAGTAAAACCCAGTTTTTCTCAATAAGTATTAGAGTCCCTGCTCTTAAAATACTGCCTTTTTTCTTAAAATATTTCCTTTTTAATTTCATATTTATTTCAATATTGCTAATAATATAGAAATACTTCTTGTTGATATCCAACGTGTTTTAAAATAATTTAGCACTAATCGTAGTATCCAGCATAGAGAATACAGGCAGTGGCCCTGTTTTCTGTGACCCATGTTTCCTAAAAAAAAAAGTTCATAAATACCATGTCTTACAATATACCACATTTGATTATTCTAAGCAGCACACTTTCCAGCGTCTCTAAAATCAGGATGTGTCTTATAATTGATGTCAGCAGCGTGGCCTTTGGTTCCTGCAACTCTACCTCCTCTCCTGCTTCATAAGGAACGACCCTCCACCCCAATTTTCCCAGCCCCTCTCCCAGCCTGATCTGCACACTCCCTCTAAGCCTGTGTCCTCCCTCAGCTGAGTCCAAGCCTGAGAGCCCCTAGACTGCAAACTGAGGGTTTTTAAACCAGGCAAGCATGCTACAGGTCAAGATGAAAAGCTGCATCATTATCCAGTTCTGATATTGGTTACAGAGCTGGCAGTGCTTCAGTTCTCCATAAAAGTGTCTCATAAATAGAAAGCATCTTAAATTTGATACAATACCATAATCGAAATTTATAGCCCAAATCCAAAATTGTATCTCTGGGGTTAAAAATTTCCTGTAGTCAAGAATGTTGTCCAAAGTATTTATAGTCCTGTGTAGGTCTCTCATAATTAATAAGCAAAAACCAGACAGTAAGTCCACTTGTCCACAGGCTGCCCTTGCACCCCACTCTCTGCAATGTGAAATTCCTCACTTCATCTATTTTTGATAACTTAACCACAGAATGTAATATTCTGGAAAAGCAAAACTATATATAATCAGGTGCTCAAACTTTTATTTTCTTACAAAATACTATGTAGAAACAAACCCAAACTAAACAGATATTCACATAAACTTATGTACAAAGTTGCACTTCTGAAAAAGAATCTATAAAAGTAGATGGTAAAAAAAAAAAAAAGAAAGACAAAAAAAAAAACTTAAAAAGATTTAAAACCAGTACTATGAAACTGACTTTCTAAAAGGAAAGTAATAGTAATTTTAAATTGCTGGTTGTAGTTGGTTTCCTAGGCTTATTTACACACTTTACTGTGGTCAGATATATAAAGGAGCTTCTTTACTTTTAGAATATCTCCAGTCTCATTTTATTTCATCAAATAGTCCAGAATTCCTTCCCCTCACAATCTTTCAAATGAGGACATAGCATATTTAGTTTTAAATCAGCTTCTATCATCTTCTTCCTCTTGAGTCACAGGTCGATAAGGCAAGGTAGTTTGTCCTCTTTCAGGATCAGACATTCGAAGAATTCTTATGAGTTTACTTGAAGGAAGTGAGCTAGAGAAAGCAAAATTAATAACTCAAATTTCAAAGAAAGTTTTTACCCATTAAAAAGATTTCTAATACTACCTCAGGAAAATATAAATCTAAATGGCTGCTATCTGCTAATTATGAGATATATCTAATATATTGTGTTCTAGGAGAAATACAATTTGCAATAAGAAAATAATTTGTTTTCATTTTTTTTTTTTTCCTTTTTTTGTCTTTTTTCGTGGCTGGCAATGGATCGCAACCCTCAGTGTCGCGCCCGTACCGGACCGGCAACAGGATCGCAACCCTCGGTGGCGGGAGCGCCGCCGCGCTCCCAAGCGGCACACTGTAGCAGTGCGCCACTGGGCCGGCCCCTCATTTTTAAAAATTAACTTCTTGCTAGATCTCATGGGTTATCAGTTTGAAGAAAAAATAAATAATAACTATTTATATAATTACTATTTTAAACTTTTGCTCTTGTCTAGTCAGGAAGTAATTACCTGAATATTCCTAATCGCAAATTTAAATTACTATATGATCACATGACCACTTCAGAGACAGAACATCAACTCTAAGTGACATAGCGCTTGACACATTGCAGGTACCCAATAAATGCTGATTGATGGCAGAGTAGAGCTGTTTATTTAGAAAGATTGGTACATATTTGTAAGTCATTAAGAAAAGAGCCAAGACTACGGAAATCAGGAATTGTTTCTTTAGTCTACACAGAATTACTGAAATTTATATTAGTTAGTCATGATAATTGTCAGGAGTAGATTCAAAATAGAAATAGAAAAAGTCAATAATCATATTCCAATCAACTTGTTTCAGTTATGGAAGGGAGATATCACAAACAAAATTTTAAATATCTAGAAAAGGAAAAATCATCTTAAATCTCCTGAACTAGCATAGAGCTAACTTTTCTTTTCATTGGTCATTTATGCATTTGAATTTTAAAAATTAAAATTAGAAAAGATTCCTTTCTCCCTTTTACATACAGAAAGTTTATAAAAGTTACCTCATGCTTTGAGGGGTAAGCAAGATAAATTGTCTAAAACGCTGGGAATCTGCCATCTTGAGTATCATGTCCATTGCAATTCTCCTATTAACCATATCCTGAAGAACAAAGGCAAGAGTGAGGATTTGCTATTGTGTCAAACACACTTCTGTGAAAGTGGTAATTTGATGGCTGATACAAATCATTCCTTTATTATCTATTATCTATAAAACAAAGGAATTCATAGAGGGAAAGACAATAATAGGAACTATCAGGGGAAAATAATTGAATAAGCATATCTTTTAGGTAATTTCTATAGTCCAAGTATTAGTATGTATTGCCCCCTCCCTCAAATACATGTAGCAATTAAATAATCAGGAAATATTCAAATGACAATACTAAATGTTATAGAATGAACCTAATTTGTGCAGTAATTATTAATCACTCAGAGTAACGATAACAAGTGTCTAGTCTCGAATTCATTGTCTCTCAAATTTTTCCTCAATGATTAAGGTTTTTTTAAAAAGTCTATCCTTCCCATTGTCTTATACAATTTGTACAATGTAAACCAATTTGAACGTACAGACAAATTTCTTGACTGAATCTTTAAAATAAGTAAAAGAGCACATCCGTACATATAAAAAGAATAATGCTGAGTTATAACAGGGTTTGAAACTAAATGAATTAGACCTTGTGCTCATGTTTCCTGAGTTAAATGACAACAAAAAAAAAAAAAAAAAAGATAGAGAAGAAACTCAAAGTATCCCTCGACCCTTCTGAAAATTCCTGAAAGTTGAAATCATAGACAAATAAACACATATTTTTAAAGATTTTATCTGCATGGTAGTTTAGAGGAAGGGCTTTGGAGTCAGATGGGAACCCAAATCCTGGCTATATTGGCCAATGGCTCTTATTATATAAATTCTATCAGGCATATCTGTAAAGTAACCTAACTTAAAATTAACCAAAATAATGAGATTGCACAAGTTGAATGCCATCCTTGGAAAACAATGTCCTGGGAAGCCTATCATTTAATAACACAGCTGCCAATGCACCAAAAAATATTTATTCATTTCCCCTGGACTGGCTCTCAGAATGTGGATACATTCTTCTAAATAATTTCATTAAGGCAAAGTACCATTCTAATTGAGAAGCTCTAAGTTTCTGAAAAAGACTGTTCAGAATTAAATTTAACATGGAAGCTGGGCAATAAGACTGCGTAATGGCATTTTGGACAAAAACAATGCATGTAAAGAATAATCATCTTCTATGATTTGTGAATTAGCTTTAAAGACAATTCTCACAGGAGTTTCTATCCCTCTTCAGCAATATCATAGGAAAAATTGACATTGAAGGATTATACAGCACTCACAAGTATAAATCTTGATTCATGAATAAGCATTTACTAAATATTTATTATGGGCTATGTATTATGAGATATAAGTACGATTAAGACAGTTGATAACTGCAAAAAGGTAACAATCTGGCAGAAGATTCAGATATCAAAATAAGTAACTGTAACAGAATAAAAAATATTATGTAATAATATATTTTATAATATAAAAATAATATGAGTTGATGTGGACTGCCAAGGAAACTCTGAGAAGTTCCTAATCCTGCCTGACAGGGTATGAATGTAATGGAAGCCTTCATGAAGGTGACATTTGAGTCAAGTCTTGAAAGAGGAGTAGAGTTTGACAAACAATAAAAAAGGGCACATTAGGCAGAGGCACTGTGTTTAGAAATTTACAAACAGCTTGGTACAGCTGAAAAAGTAGGTAGATACTATTTCATGTAGGATCTCAAAGTTATCCTACAGAATTAAATGTCTATCCCATATATAATAATTAACCACCAAAGGGTTTTATATAGGTGAGTGACCACAGTCAAATCTATTTTATTCTTTTTGTTGTTGCTTTTTGTTTGTTTTTCTTGTACAATCAAATCTATTTTAGAAATATAAACCGCCTAAAAGAAAGAGAAAAGACTGAAGCAGAAGCAAGATTAAAGTGTGGGAGTCTGGACAAGAAGTTATTACCACAGGCAAGAGTGAGGAAAGGGAGATGAGTAGTAATAAAGTCTCAGTGAGAAAGGAGAAGAGAGCAGGGACTAAAGAGAGATTTTAAAAGAGGAACAGACAGAGGTCAGACTTTTAGAAGTAAAAAGGAAGGAAGAATCAAAGAAAAATCACAGGTTTTGAAGTTCGGTAATTGGGTTGATAGTGTCAGTTTGACATTAATTAAGGTAGGGAGTTCAGAAAATGGAGGAGGCTTTGGGAGAAAGACACATTCAGTCTGTGTATGTGTATGGGGGTAGATAGGGTATGGTATCCAGGAAAATTGACAAAAGCATAAAAAGCAAACAAAGAAGACCTCAAACATTTGAGGGCAACAGAATTATGTGGGGCAGCCTGGCAGACTGAAATCAAAGAGTACAACACTAAAACAGGGAAAGAGGAGTGTGGAAGCTGGTAAGAAGACACATTTTAAGAGACGGAGAACAGGTCTGTGGTGCCAAATACTTCAAAGAAATAAACTAAGATTAAAAGCTATGACCTTTGCTAAACAAGCTTTTCTGGAGTGGTGTAGTCTAAATCCAAATTACAGTGGCTTTAGGACAGAACAAGACATGGCATGAAGAAGAGAATGATTAATTGCTAATTTATGAGGACTTACAGTGTGCCTGCACCATAGTTAAGAGCATTACATGCAAGACTTCATTTGAGCCTCACTATAACCCTATGAAGAAGGAAATATTAATAACCTTGTTTTATAGATGAAGAAACTGAAACCCCAAAAGGATAAATACTTTGCCTAACGTCATTTGGTGGCAGAGGTAGGTCTCAAATCCCAGGTTTTTTTTTTAACCTCAAAGTCAAATGCTCTTTCTCTCTTATGTTAATAAACAGTGCCCTTTGGAAAAGTGTGGCTGTGAAGGAAGGGAGAGCAAATGGCAGCTACAGTTAGTCTCAGCAAGGATTGTGAACTGGTTATAATTCTGTATTAAAACAGAAAAGCCTGAACATGTTTATGGGTTGATGGAAATAAGCTAGAGAAGAGGCTGAAGGAGAGAGAGCCTATCTGATGAAGAATAAGGATTTCCATGCAGGGAGAGAAAAGGATGAAATCCAGGACAGGGTCTCTAGAGGTGCTGTATGGTAGCGAGGGAGAGAACCTGAATTCTTTAGTTCTTTCCCATCACTGATCACAGACTGAAGTGTCAGGGCAAGATCTTTTCTGTTATGGGTTAAACTAAAGGAAGATCTGCTTTCTTTCAAAATACGTGTTTTAAACAAGCAAACAAAAATTAAAGAATTTAAAATTTAACAATACCATGTAGACATCAAATTCATCCAGGCATCTGAAAGGAGATTCAGCAATGGACCACAGAGAAAGAATAAAGCACACTGTGGAGAAAGAACGTTCGCCTCCAGACAAGGCTCTCATGTCATTGAAGGCAGCTCTATTTCCCTCTCCAGGCTGAACCTTGAACAGAATGAGTTTGTAAGAAACAAAAAACTAAGTACGGAAACAGTCAAATTAAACTCTTTACAACACAGGTTGGCTAGAATCAGAAAGAATGGGTTTATTAAAAAAAAAAAAAGGACAAGAATAAAATCATTTCAGTAATATGGAAATATCTATTCCATTCAAAATATTTTACAGTAAAACAGTGAACTGTATAATGCTGTTTTGTTTTACTGCAAGAAAATCAAACTGAAAACTTTTTCTCACCACAACTGAACGTTAATCAAATGTTATTGATCAAAATAAATAATTTAAACTAGTCCTCCTGAAAATGTTACAGCTTCAAACATTTAAAAGTGCTCAGATAATTTTTTGTTTCTTGAATTACAGTGACATCTAGTGGTTAAACTGCTTTAAAAGTAACTATCTTGTGTCAAAAGAACACAGGACCAACTTGAAGAGGCTTTCACTGGCCAAAGAACAACAGCAGAAATGGATTGAAAAACATAAAAAAAACTTTAAAGAATTCTTTACTAAATAAGGGTACATAGGAACAATAAAAAGCAATTAATGAAATTAATGAACTTTTTCATACGATTTCCTGAGAAGACAAAACAAAGTAACATTTGGAGGGATTGTTTCATTTTCCCAGAATTCCTGATATACATCTAAATAAGGGTACATAGGAACAATAAAAAGCAATTAATGAAATTAATGAACTTTTTCATACAATTTCCTGAGAAGACAAAACAAAGTAACATTTGGAGGGATTGTTTCATTTTCCCAGAATTCCTGATATACACATATGCATACAAGAACAACAGAGCACCAACCAGTTTTATATCAATAGCAGACACATAGCTTCCAATACTTCCCAATACACTATTTGAAAAATTATGTTGTTCTCAAGTGAGCATTCATTTATTTTTTAATATTCTAAGGGTTATAAAAATTCTGATTTTAAACATACACTGAAAATTTTATATCATCTGTTTGAATCCTCTATGAAAACCCAAATGAAAAAGTAACATTAACATGAGCAATAAAAAACCAAACCAATAACCAACCAAATTTTAAAAACCCACATAAAAACAAGAACTACTAAGATGCAATCCCCTTGTTCCAACACTGCATTTTGTATCAATCATTAGAGTGGTACCCTACATAAATCGTGGAGATCTAACTTTTATCCCTATCTATTACTAACTTATCATGGGATTTCAGTCTTAATTTCTTTATTTGTAAAATGAGGACTGATAATTTAAAGATTCTTAAAGTAACAACATTCTTTTGAATAACAGGAATGATAATGTCGAAAGTCTAGTTTGAATTGTCTTGTACGGTTAGCTCTGGGGATAAATTCTTCAAGTTTTTTCCCGTTAAGAGTATAATTTACATAAAGAACACGAAGCTTAAGTGTAAAGCTCAAATAATTTTTACATGCACACACACACAAACCTGGATAACCATAAATAAGATTGAGACAGAACATTTCAAGCATTTCAGCAAACTCCCTGTGTCATTACCATCCCCCGCAAATGTAACCACTATTCTGACTTTAATCACCACACATTAATTTTACCAGTTTTTGAACTTCATATGTATATACAATATGTACACTCTTGTGAGTGGTTTCTTTCACTCTTCATTGTCAGTTCATCTACGTTGTGTGCAGCAGTAGCTTGTTTTTCATTACTAAATAGTATCCCGTTGTCTGAATATACTCTAATTTATCCATTTGACTACTGGGGGACATTCGGATTGCTCAGCTTTTAACTATTATGAATAAAGCTCCTATGAACATTTTCACATATATCTTTTTGAGGACATAAGCACTCATTTTTCTTGGATTTATGCCCAAGAGTGAAACCATTTTAACAGACATTGACAGGTTTCCAAATTAGTTCCACCAAATTATACTCCCACCAGCAAGGTATGAGAGTTCTAATTCCATATCTTCACCAACGTAAGATATTATTGCCTGTCTTGTTCATGTTAGTCATCAGAGAAATACAAATTTATACCACAATAAGTTACTATCAGACCCTGTTAGGATGACTAAAATGGTTTGTTGTATAAATTGGTATTTCTCTGATGACAACAATTCTAAATGCTTTTTCATGTGCTTATTCACCACTTGGATACCTTAATTTACGAAGTTCCTGTTTAAGCCTTTTGATCCTTTTAAAATGCATTGTCATTCTTTTTCTTAATATTTATCACTTTAAACATTCGAGATGAGTCTTTTGTTGTATACATATTGCAAATATCTTTTCCCAGTCTGCAGCTTCTCTTATCTCTTTTAATGTTACTTTTTAATGAAGAGAAGTTCTTAATTTTAATAAATTCCAAATTATCAATCTTTGTTTTTTAGTAGGGTATTGCTTTTTGTGTCCCGTTTCAAAAATCTTCATAAAAGAACATAAAGAGATTCTCTTCTTCGAGAAGCTTTATTGTTTTACATTTTACATTTAGGTCTATGATCAATTTCTAAATTACCTTTTGTACATAATGTGAATTAGGGAGTCAAGGTTTGTTTGCTATTTATTTATTTTATCAAAAGATATCCAACAATTTGAATTCAACGCCACTCATGAGAAGACCACCCTTTTTACATAGGTTGCAGTGAGTGCTGTTAATCAGGTAACCATATATGTATGGTCTGCCTTGGGCTTTCTATTCTGTTTTGTTCCTACTGTACAATTGATTTCTATTCTCCAATTTCTGCTCTTGTATCTTCATTATCTCCTTTCTACTTGAGTTTATAATTGGCTTTTCTTTTTCCAGCTTCCTGAGATAGAACTTAGATCATTAATGTTCAGTCTTCCTTTTTTTACTAATATATGTATTTACAGCTATAAATTCCCTTGGGAGTTCATATGGCTGTACACTAGAAGTTTTGATACACTTTACTTTTACTATTGTTTGGGTCAAAATTCTATTTCCCATGTGATTTCTTCTTTAACCCATAGATCATTTATAAATGCGCTGCTTAATTTTCTAACATTTGGGAAATCTGGGGTTACCTCTGTTATTTCTAATTTCCCAATCCCTTGAAACTTGTCGAGATTTGTTTTACGGCCAAGAAAATGGTCTATTTTGGTAAATGTTCCACATTAACTTCAAAACAATCTACAATCTGTGGTAGTTTCGTACAGTGTTTAGTAGTTACAACAATTATGTCAGTTTGGTTAATTGTGTAATTTAAATCTTCTATAGTCTTAATGACTTTTCATCTGACTGTTCTATCAATTCCTGCAAAAAATTTGTTAAAATTTCCAACTATAATTGTCAGTTCTTCTACTTTGACTTTCAGTTCTCTCAATTTTTATATATTCTGAAGCTATACTATTAGGTACTTAACAAATTAAAACATTTTTTGAAATAACTTTTGTCACTATAAATGCCCATTTTGGTCTCTATCAATACTTCTGCACACACTCTATTTCGTTATTAATATAACTTTACAGCTTTCTTTTGGCTAATGTTTGCATGATATATCTTTTTTCCATATTTTACTTTTTTAATATTTAAAGTGTCTCTTATAAACAGCATTGGCTCTTACATCCTTCTATCCATTCTGACAATCTTTTGCTTTTAATTATTTAATCCACTTAACATGTAATTACTGATAGATCTAGGTATAAGTCATCCAGCTGACTATTTATTATCAATTTGTCCCATATGTTCTTTATTTCTCCCCTCTTTTTTGTCTTCATTTAACTGAGCTTTTTTTTTTTTCCTATTCTTCTTACTTGGTCTCTAAATTACTTTTTTTTTTTTAAAAGATGACCGGTAAGGGGATTTTAACCCTTGACTTGGTGTTATCAGCACCACGCTCACCCAGTGAGCGAACCGGCCATCCCTATATGGGATCCAAACCCATGGCCTTGGTGTTATCAGCACCGCACTCTCCCGAGTGAGCCACGGGCCGGCCCTAAATTACTTTTTAATTATACATTTCTTTTAAAATTCTGTCCATGTTTACTCTAGAGATTACAATACACATCTTTGATGTAATAGTTTATCTTAAGTTAGTATTGGTATTAATTCCTGAAAGGAGCAAGAACCTTACAACAGTTTAACTCCATGTACTCCTATCCCTTTTTTGAGCTATCATCATATATTTTACATCTTATAAACCCCTCAAGACACTATCACTGCTGTTGTTTTAGATAGCCAAAGCTGTTTTATATTTACCCATATTTACCTTTTGTAGTACTCTCTGTTCCTTCTGCAGTTCCATGTTTCCATCTGAGATCATTTTTCTATTACCTGAAGAAGCTCTTTAGTGTTTCTTGTGGGCCAAGCATACTGAAGAATTTTTTCAGCTTTTGTTTGTCTGAAAACTAAGACGTTTCATCTTCACTTTTGGAAGACAGTTTTGCTAGTTACAGAATTTTAGATAGCAGTTTTTTAAAAAAATGCTTTAGACTATAAAGTCTGTCAGGTGACATTTACCTTCCCTGATTTCTGTTAAAAAGTCTGAATTCTTGTTTTATTGTTGCTCCTTGGAAAATAATATACATTTTTCCTCTTTATTTTTTAAATTTTTGTTATCTTTGTTTTCAGTTATTTGACTACTTTGAGATTAGGCAGGGTTTTCTTTGTATTTATCTCATTTATGGTTTGCTGAGATTTATGAATCTGGGTTGATGTATCTCAGTTTTGAAAATTCTGAACCATTATCTCTTCAGATATTCTTTCTGCCTGAATTCTTGTTTTATTGTTGCTCCTTGGAAAATAATATACATTTTTCCTCTTTATTTTTTTAATTTTTGTTATCTTTGTTTTCAGTTATTTGACTACTTTGAGATTAGGCAGGGTTTTCTTTGTATTTATCTCATTTACGGTTTGCTGAGATTTATGAATCTGGGTTGATGTATCTCAGTTTTGAAAATTCTGAACCATTATCTCTTCAGATATTCTTTCTGCCCATTCTTTGTTCTATCCTACAGGGACTCAAATTATACTTAATTAAAACTGCTCACTGAGCCACTCGCATCTTTTAAGCTCTGTTCAGTGTTTTCTCTCTTTTTTTTAAATGTGGCTCAATTTAGATATATCCTTTTCACCTGCTTTGAGTTCTGCCAATTTTGTTTTCTGTTAGGGTTAGGTCTCACTTGGCTGTTAAATCCACCCAGTGAACTCTTAGTTTCAGATATTGTTTTCAGTTGTAGAATAACCATTGATTCTTTTTGTAGATTCCAGTTCTGTGTTGAAACTCTGCATCCTTTTTGTCCATTTTGTTTATGGTTAACTCTATTTTCTTTACAGATTAATCATGATTAAAACACTAGTCTGTTCTCTCGTGTAACATCAGTGAATCTGGTTTTATTTTCTATTTTTTAAATATCAGTCACATTTCCATGCTTCTTCACATATCTGGTCATTTTTATAGTATTGAAGTATAAAAGAAATACAATAAACTGCACATATTTTAAGTGTACAATTTGGTAAGTTTTAGCAAATGTGTACATACATATAAGTACTATTCAAGATAAAGAACGTCATCTCCAAAAGTTTCCTTATGCCCCTTTGTAACCTGTATCTTGTTCCACTGACCTATTTGTATGTTTTACACCAGTATCCCACTGTCTTGATTACTGTAGCTTTGTAAAGTCTTGAAATCAGTTAATGTATGTCCTCCAATTTTGTTCTTTCTTTTCAAAGTTATTTTGGCTATTTTAGGTCCTTTGAATTTTCAGGTGAATGTTAGAATCGGTTTGCCAATTTCTACAAAAAAGTTTGTTCCCATTTTGATGAGAATTGTGTTGAACCTACAGATTAATTTGAGGAATACTAAAATCTTAATAATACTGAGTCTTCTGTTCCATGAGCACTATATATCTCTTCATTTATTTAGGTTTTAATTTTTCAGCATTTTAAAAAATATATTCTAGCATATCATCTTGCACACCTTTTATCAGATTTTTCCCTAAGTATTTTATATTTTTAATACTATTATGATATTTCCAAATTTTAATTTCTGATAATTTATTGCTAATATACAGAAATGTAATTCATTTTTGTATGCTGTCTACAACCTCGCTAGTAAAGGTTGCACTTACTAGTTCTAGTAGCTTTTTGTAGATTCCCATCAGATTTTCTACATAGATAACCACATTATTTGTGAATAAAGTGAATTTTAATTCTTTCCAAAATGCATGCCTTTTAGTTCTTTTTCTTGACTTACAGCACCGGCTAGAACCTCTAGTACAATGCTGGAGAAAAATAGTGAATGTGAATATGCTTGCCTGGTTTCTGATCTTTGTCTTTTTTTTTTTTTCTTTAATCTTAAGAATGGTATTTTGTATAAAAGAACGTGGAGGCTCCAGAAGATATAATAATCCACCAAAGAGGGGTCGCTTTTCCTTGTATTTGGTTGAAAATATGGCAGAGCTGACAGTAAATCAGGGAGAAAGCTGGGTTGGGGTTTAGTAAGACTTAGTCCACCTTTCATTCATCCTTGTTCCTTGGGCCAGCTGTGCACAACCTCAGAACTCAGGAATTGACTAACTGAAATATCAGTCATGTACCAAGTACTTCCAAAGTTTCTACTGTCTTGCCAGCCCTCCACTACCACCAAAAGTCCAGAATTGGCAAATGCTCCCAGGAAAGAAAACATCCAGCAATGGTCAATTTACCTTTGACAGGCTCCCCCACACCTTGGAATTCAAATTTATCTATTCATTGTTCGTTCTACAGCTTTCTAATGTCTTTAAAAACAAAATTTTTTGTAACTTCCCTGGCTTTCTCATAATTTGCAGTGAGAACAAGGGACTGCTATGATATGCTACCTCCCTACCCACCAGAACAATTCCTCCCAATACTTTCAAATCTGTATATTTGATGATTTGGGCCTTTCAAAAATAGATGGTCGGTGAGGAGGGGCTGGATACGATTTATTGGAAGAAATTTAAACAAAAGGAGAGTAAAAGTTAACTTTCTAATGTGGTTAAAATGCAAAGGTTCCAAACATCATAGATGTTTCAGACACCTAACATTTATTCTAAGCTCTAAAATGGAAGGATAAAATTTATGGCAACTAAGGGTAGTAAGCAATTATTTGAAAATTCTGCCCCAGATTATTTAGAGTGGGTAGTTGTCTTGACTTCCTTACTACACAATTTTTAATGCCATATCCCCACATTCCATCTTTTAATGCATGTGACTATGAAATAATCCAGAGCCATACAGACTCCATAAAGTTGAATGAGGTAAGCTTTGTTTATTCAAAAAAGGCCAGATCTAGGGACAACTTCTGATATAAATAGTATGAAGACAAATACGTGGGGCAGAACTTTCCTGGCTGCCTATAATGAAACTAAAGACTATGGAATTTCCATAATGTTCCACATAATTTAAAATGCTGTGAGAATTTTAAAAAGGAACCCCGGTAGAGTTGAAAGACAAGGTAAACACCTGTCACTGAAAATAAAATTCCTAATTATCACCCCAAGAAAATAATGTGGTTGTCTAAAAAAAAAAGAAAAACTAAACTAGCAGCTTTAATTCAGTAAGATCAATTTAATATTTTCAACATGTTGGTAAAGACTACCCTTAACTTAAAAAATAAGTTCTTCTGTCTTCTTTCTAAAGACAACAGCTTATCAGTGTTTTGTCAAAAGAAAAGAAGCAGCTAATTGTCCTAACGATTAGGATACAAAGAATTAAGACACTTACTGATATAGAAAGAGTTTCATTCTTGTGGTCAAAATTCATTTTTCCACAATAGGCCCGTTGAGATAATAGGTTGTCAAAGTACAATTTGCATCGTAAAGTCAAACACCTTGAAATAAAGAAATTGGGCACATTAAGAAGAAGATAAAGATATAGAAGTATACGTTAAGCATGATCTAAGCATGTAACAACAGAGGAAAACATGCCAAAATGTTGACACTGGTTGTCCATTTAATAGGTGGGTTTGAGATGATCTTTTTTCTCCATGTCTTTTTATTCATTTGTGTCTCTACATTTTTACCAGTTCATTTACTTTTATAATAAATAAACATAACATAAAGGTGTCAACACATATTTAATATATCCCATTATACTACAGTCAGTCCATATGAATGTGTTAATCATTCAACTAAATAATACAAGGCATTACCCTAATACATAAGATGTAAATCTTGTCTCTGAGATGATTAAACTCTAGTGGTAATATGATAAACGGATAAACTGGATAAACTGCCTATTCATTTGCCTGTATCCTCCCAATTCCATAGTAGCAAAAAGGGTAAATTGCAATCTCTTAGTCATCGTGCATCTATAATAACTTGCACATTGCTTAGCACAATGCAAACTATCATTGCCTTTCTGTTTATTAGATGGCATTCTAATGTATGGAAGATCTTTCGCTTCCTCCTCAATTCTTTATTTACTTATTTACCTTTCTATTTACAGGACAGAGTTAGAGATTTTTATTCACTGGATCAATTTTTACTTCATTCATACCATTCTTTAATGTCCTTATTTATTGTGATCCTTAAACTGTCCCAGATTATGCCAACAGGAGCTCCTGCAAGCTGGCTCCTGTGTCCTTTTATTATGACTCCACATTTTGTTTTTGAGCACTTCCTTTTTTCTGGAATAGGAAGAAGCTCATCTGTACCTTTCCTGTCCAGCTCTGGAATCAGCCATTTCTCCATTGAGACCTGGTTCTTTTTAGTGGGAAATGGTAGATAGAGAATAAGATCTGGGTGATAGGTCACTGGCTATTTTTCTTAACATCTTTTCTTCTTAACAAGCCTAGGAGGCTCCTTTCTTCAGAGTAACTATGACTTAATTCTTTCCCCTGCCTCCTATTTCCCTCCCTAAACTGGATTAAATTCCCACACTAAAAAATATTGACACCCTGAGTTTTCCTTTGCTGCTATAGCAACCACTACTAGCTGGTTTTCAAAATTTTCTGTTAACTTTTCTTTCTTTCAATACTGACATGTATTCTTTAATTGCTTCCATTCATGGGATGTCTAAAAGAGACTGTTGCCATAAAATAGCAAGGTTCTCTAGAGTAAAGAGATAAACAATTTTAAAAAATAATTTTTCTTCATCTTCCTAAGATTGGGTAAACAATATTAAACATGTTAGTGGTGAGGAATAATGTCAAGGTAATAAGCTGTAAGACCAATACTTTTACAAAAAACATTTTAAGTACACATTTCTGGGTAATGATATAAAAACAAATCCTATTGCATCTGGAAAAAAATGTATGTTGTAATAGGGACTGGGTTTGTTATTCTGCCTGAAACAACTAAAAAAACTAGACAGTATATTTTGAGTTTTCAGACTCTGGACATCAGAGAGCATAGCAGATTCAGTCAAATGATCTCTGAAAGATGAGAAATAAATGAGTTGAGCCCTATGAATGCCCCAAATTACTACATATGGAAAGAGTAAAGGGGAGTAAAAACCTAAGTGGAGCCTAGAGTTTTCTTGTTTAAGGAGACAAACCTGGGAGTCTGGGGAGGCCAAGGAAACTTCAGTTCACAAGGCTCAGTACTTTCTTAGAGAGGAGAAAATGGCACAAAGGAGGACTAGAGGATCTACAAAGGGCTCCATTCCAGTCTCGAGCTGAGTTCTGACCGGTGCATGTGTGTGAGGATACTACCTGAGGCTGGGGAAAGAAACACCCAAAAGAAGCAGAAGCAATCCCCAAACCTAACCAAAGCCAAGAATAGTTCATGTTCCCATGGGCTAGAGTGAAAACCTCATAATTCACAAGATACTGGTAGAGTACTCAGAAGAGCACTGCCTCAGAGGTAGGAATAAATTAGCCACCACAAAGGGCTGCTGTAGTCCCACCTAACAAAACTTAAAAGCAGCCTCAAAAGGATAAAAATGAATCTTATTTAATTCAAGTCCTAATAACATGCCTATAAAACTGAAACACACATTCCAAAAAATAACCCAGTTAAGAAATATGGTCAAACATATTTCTCTTTATGGCTTTATCTAAATTTCTCTGTACGCACCAGAGCTAGGGATGTGTGTGTGTGTGTGTGTGTGTGTGTGTGTGTGTGTGTGTGTGTGTGTGTGTTTATTTCTGTTGTCTTAAGATTGTAGACTATTGGGTATAAAGCTGAAAAAGATGATACCGAGGGAATGCTACAGGGAAAAAATAAAAGCAAGCAGAAGGACTAGGGTTGCCTTGGATCCAAGTAATATTAAGAGCCATCCTTCCTTATCAACCGTTCTCTGGTTTATTTCTGTTGCTTGTGATATTAATTGGGGTCAATCTATCCCTGAAAGTCTGTACATCTCTGGGTAAGTTAAATAATATCTAGTTTCCCTGATCCTGTATTCATTTTTCAACAAATCTATAAAGTGCCTACTAAATTTCCGGTACAGTTATAGGCACTGGAGATATGACAGTAAACAAAATAGACTTTCTGCGTTCACAGAACTATGCAATTCTAGTAGATCATGGTAAACCAACTGAGACAGTGCCTCAAAGGTCTTACTAAACACTTTTATCCCTTAAGAACATGAAATGTCCAAGGGTGAAAATAGGCTGTTTCAGAACCAATGAGCTCCCATTCAAAGGACCTATTTAAGCAATGAACAGCCATCTCTGAGTTATCTAGTAACTTTTAATTTATTTATAAAAAATAATGTGAGGGCCGGCCCGGTGGCGCACTGCTACAGTGCGCCGCTTGGGAGTGTGGTGGCGCTCCCGCCGAGGGTTTGGATCCCACATACAGACCGGTTCCCGCTCACTGGCTGAGCGAGGTGCGGGTGCAGCACCGAGGGTTGCGATCCCGTTGCCGGTCCCAGTCCGGTACGGGCGCGACACTGAGGGTTGCGATCCGTTGCCGGACACAAAAAAAGAGACAAAAAGACAAAAAAATAAAAATAAAAATAAAAATAATGTGAAAACAAAGAAAACACAAAAATGTATAATACGTAGTAACATTTTTTAATGTACTTACCTCCTAAATTGTTGATATGTTTTGAATCTATGTGTCATTATTTCTTCCAGTAATTTAATAAACCTTTTTAAAGTCCTTACTTTATTATCCAGATCAAGATAGGTTTCTCTTGCTTCTTGGTACTGCCTGTTTTATGAACAAAATATTAAGTAAATAAATACCATTCACAAAAAACATAAAAGTAAAATCTCAAATATTTAACTGGGGAGAACAGGGAGTGCTGATGGGGAGTAGCTGATTTCATAAATTTCTAGGCAAAATATACTCCCAGAATGAGAGTGTGCTACAGAATGAGAGTGTAACCCTGACTGGGAAGGAACAAAGTCCAAGCCATACAGAAGGCAGAGAGAGTATGTGAGCAAGTGCTCAGGTGGGCCCATTGGTGGCAAATCTTAAGAGAATACCAGCAAATACATACCTCCTAAAAGTAAGGGGTCACACTGGGAAAAAAGTTTCCCTTAGTGACAAATGTCAATATGGAATAGAAGTACACAGCGTCAGCATTAGAATCCTTCCACCCCATCCTAAACAGGTCAAAGGGGCAGAAAAGGCATGGCTACTCAGAAGTGCTATTATATAGAGGGAAACGGCCTGTTACTATAGAGAGGGAAAGAAAGATCCTGGCTGAGTATGAAAGGCAACCCTGGCCAAGACTCCCACAGCTACCCCTCTCATCCTCCTTCAAATAACCAGTCCAGGAAAATCTAATTCATTAAAAAAACAAATATCCCAAAAGACACAAGCACAGCATTAAAACAAAGACATTTATGAAAAATAAGAGGTGAAGAGCAGAATTCTCCTACAGACAAAAAAAACTTATTAGAACAATGTTGCCACAAAGTAGATAAAAACTGTAAGTGAACACCATGAATTAAAACACATGAGACAAGTGCTACCAGGAAGGAACACCTCAAAGCAGAAAGAAAAGATCTGAAAGATCAGATAAATAAAAGAACTTCAAAAATAGGTAAACACTAGAAGGTGAAAACCAGACAACAGGAGAAGGTAAAGCAAGAACTTCGAAAAACCAAGGTGGGGAAGGTGAGTGCTTAGTCCAAAGGAGAGGAGGTGGGATGCAAAGCACAGATATAAAGAGAAAATGAGAAAATGAGAAGATGCACAAGGGCAAATAGAACATGAAAAACACATTAATGGAAATAGAAAACAGAAATGAGAAAAGCAAACAAAATTTTAAAAAAGATAAAATGGTTAGATAAAATGATAAATGATAATTAGAGAAGACAAAGATATTCAACATATGGATAACTGAAGACCTCAAACAAGAAAATAAAACAATAGAAGAGAAAATAATTAAAATTCCTGAAAAATTTAAAAAACTAAAAGACTTAAATCTACATATTGAAAAAGTACAACATATACCAAGAAAAGAATCACAGAATATGGACATTCTGGACAAGTTAAAGGACTTTATAGACAAATACCATCATAAACAAGATATTTGGGCGCCGGCCCGGTGGCGCACTGGATAAGTGCGCCGCTTGGGAAGCGTGGCGGCGCTCCTGCCCGAGGGTTCGGATCCCACATACAGACCGGTTCCCGCTCACTGGCTGAGCGAGGCGCGGGAGCAACACCGAGGGTTGCAATCCCATTGCCGGTCCCCGGTCCGGTACGGGGGCAACACTGAGGGTTGCGATCCGTTGCCAGACACGGAAAAAGACAAAAAAAGACAAAAAAAAACAAGTCCGGTACGGGGGCAACACTGAGGGTTGCGATCCGTTGCCAGACACGGAAAAAGAAAAAAAGACAAAAAAAAAACCGAAAAAGACAAAAAAAGACAAAAAAAAACAACAACAAGATATTTGTTATAGAAAGTATGGGCCAAAGATTTTATATTAGGCTAAACTATCCTTTAAAAATTTAAGTTAAAGACAAATAATTATGAACCTGCAAAAGCACAGAACATATTCATATAAGCCATTTTTAAAGAAATTAGAAAACAAACAACTTTTCAAATGGCTGCATGGACATTAGGAAACAGATAAAATTTATTCCTCACACCATACACAAGAATAAACTCCACACAGATCAGAGATGTAAACATAAAAAATGAACATAAGAAAGTACTAAAAATAAATAGGTAAATTCCTCTATAACCTAGATGTAGAGAAAGGCTTTTTAAACTATGACCCCAAATCCAGATGTAATGAAAGACTGTCAAGCTGGACTAAATAAAAATAATCACTTCATGGCAACCCCCTCCCCCCAAAAATAACATAAGCAAATTCAAAAGAGAAATAACAAATTATAAGAAAAATCTGCAACATACAGCTAATATCCCTAATAATATATATTTTTTAAAAACTTAAAATTTGAGAAAAAAATAAAAAATACTATTGAGTCATTACTCAATACATAGATAATTTTTAGGGTATAAAAATGTTTTTTAAATATATTTTTTAAAGTTCAGTTTTATTCATGATGGAATGTAATTAAAACTACATTAATATACCATTTCTTAGCCTTCAGATGGGCAAGAATTAAAAAGCTTATACTATCAACTCTGTTGGCAAGGTTATGGGGAGGCATCTTATCTCATACAATGTTGGTTCAAATGCAAAAATGGTACAAACTCTATGGAGATTTAGCAATATCTAACAAAACTACTTACGCATTTAGGCTTCAATCTAGTAAAGTCACTTCTGAAAACGTACCATGAAGATACAGACAGACATCTAACAACATGAGAACACACACACACACACACACACACACACACACACACACGGTAATTCATTACATCATTATATCTACAAAAAATTGGCAATGACTTACGTGCACAAACAAAATAACTGAATAAACTACAGTACAGATCAATGTGTGTGCACGTGCACAAACACAGGAGAGTAAAATAAAGCTGTAAAAAGAATGAGGAAGTTCTCAATGAACTGATATGGAGTGATTTTTCAGGATATATTGTTAATCCCGAAACCCTTTTATTTTGATAAAGGCAAGGCAGCTGACTATCTTTTGTGAAAAAAGTAGAGGAACTAAGGAAAAAGGAAAATACATATGGACCTGCTTACTTTCACAAACAAACACCAAAAATAGAAAACAAAAAAGAATTAGTGCTTACAAGGGGCAGGTGGGAGGGAATGGGGTGGAAATGATAAGTGAGGGAGGACATTTCTCTGAATATACTTTGTGTATAGCTTTGACTTTTGGAAACACTGTTCATTTCTACATATTCCCCCCAAAATTAAATTAAATCAACAAGGATAGGAGAAATCTAAAACTGAACACAAACAAGAACAAATGAAAACATTTCTGCTTCAAGTTAATATCTACCACATCAAACAAAGAGAAAAAAACTAATTCAAATAACTTTAGAACACAGTAACTTTATTAAAATACTAGTGGAAAAATAATTGCATGCACATTTTTCAGTAAATTTGCTTTTTGTAGCGGAGTATTATGGGACTGAGTAAATGTAACGTTGAAAGCCAGCGTTCCTACTGTGGAAGAAGGAAGACAGAAACATGGAGTAAAGTCAGGTAAAGACCTTTGTGATACTGGACTGTAACTGAAGATATTGGAGGTATCAATATGAACTCATGTTTTCAGCTCCATTCACTGAAAGGTCCTAGAAGAAATGCCACCCCAGTTAATAATTAGCATCCTTAGAACCTAAATTCTGTTTTTAGGTAACATTCCCCTCTAAAAGGAACCAGGGCTCTTTGGAGAAATGACTGACTCCAAGGCTGGGTCAGTGAAGGTAAAGAATGAGCTTGAAACACCTTGTTATGCCACAAAATAAGAAAAAGCTCCAAGAAGAAGACAGAAGACAGAAAACAGAAGAAGATGAAGACAGAAGACGACGACAACGATGACGAAGAAGAAGAAGAAGAGGAGGAGGAGGAGGAGAGCATGGTAAACAGTTTGAAAAGGCTCTATTTGACCAAAGGTGGAACAATTTAATCATCAAAATAAACAAACAATAGCCCATTAAATAAAATAGGAATCGCTAAGCCCATATTAACAATAGGTGAATAAGTAATCAATAAATCTGGAAGAAGGAAGGCTCTTTTTTATAAATGATTGATAAACATGGAGGATGCTGTGAAATGGGAAAATCACCATTTTTGTAATCAGCATAGTAAAGATTGGTTCAGGCAAGAATTGTCAGCAGATGGTAAATTTAGGCCTAAAAATATAATGAAAAACAGGATATTGGGAGAGGTGCTAAGTATCTCCTCACAGAATGCTTATTAATTGCAAGGGAAAAAACAGTGAAACATATATAATGAAAAAAACAAAGAACACCTTTAACTGGGTGGTCAAAATTAACATCACCAGTAAGGATGAGAAAAATATTATGTGCCTCTAGATGTGACACCCAGAAAAAGACACATCATCCTTTATATAGTATCCTGACAAAGAATACATAACATGAACCTAAGTATAAGGAAATATCAGATAAACCCAAAGAGCATTAAGTAAATAACATGGCAAGTAAGTGAAATCTGTGATCTTAGATTACATTCTATACAGTAGGAAAGACATTGAGAATTTACAACACTGGAAATTGGACTGTAGATTCTATCAGGGTTAAGTTTCCTGCATTTTATAACTGTATGGTGGCTATGTACTTGTTCTTAGGAAATATATGTTGAAGTACCAAGAAGTAAAGGATCATGACACAGTTGGCTCTCTGTATCTGTGGGTCCACATCCTTGAATTCAACCAAGAGCAGACTGTTGTACAGTATATGTATGTATTGAAACAACACTATACCCCACAAATACATACAAGTAAATACTAAAATAAAATAAAGTAGAAAAGAAAATATTTGAGGGAAAAAATTCACAAAATTTGATTTTGCTGCACACCAAATACTATGTTGAGTCTATGTGAATGAAGTGATGTGTAGGCACTGTATTAAGGACCTGCAGAGGTCCTGGAACCAATCCCCCATGGATACTAAGGGATGATTGTATATGGAACTTCCTTTCAAATGGTGCAGAAAAAATTAAAACATACATGTGTTACATATATGTATATGTATGCACACTTTATATATATATATATATAATGGTGCAGAAAAAATTAAAACATACATGTGTTACATATATGTATATGTATGCACACTTTACACACACACACACACACACACACACACACACACACACACACAGAGTCTTTCAATAATGTTTGAAACTTTAACATCTTTGACATTTGTGATAATGTAATATATGTTTATGTCCACCAAATCCAGGCAATTTCTCCATTCAATATGTATTAATCCCAGATGGGAAAATTCACTAGGACTGAAATATTGTATGAGGTCCAGCTGCTTCTTAATTATTAAAATTATTATTTTCATTTTATAACAAATAGGAAGAGAAATGAACTATCTGCGTGAGCATGGAATTAAAATTGTTTTTGCACAAAAAATATACCTTAGGATGAAAAATAACATATACTCACATTACCTTGCAATGGTATATAGAAATACTGAAAGCATACCTTATACATTAATAAAATAAGATAAAGTAAAAGGAAAGAAAAGTCATGAGGATGCTGAAAATAGGAAGTGAAACTTTTTACTGTGTCCTTTTACATTGTATTTTTAAAACATGATGTATTACCTATTTAAAAAACAAAGAGTTCTTACTATTTGGATGTTTCTTCCCATTGTTTTCCAATGTTTTTGAAAATAGAATAGTGATCACTCCTGTTCTCAGTCTTTTTTTTTAATATAAAAGGTTCTTCATAAAGAATAGCTGTAATTTTCTACTATAATTTAACTACTCTCCAACAACTGCACACAATTTCTGATTTTTCTTCAGAATTATAAAACTTTTATAGAATGACATTTTAACATAAACGCCTTCTTATATCTATAAAATTTTATATCTATAAAATAATGCTGAAATAAACATCTCTGACCATAAATTGTTTTTCATTTTAAACTGTTATAGAAACAAAATTACTTGACCAATCAAAATTTCAGCAAAATATTTTGACATTTACTGCCCAAATGCTTTTCAGAAAGACTTTAATAAGAATAATAATGACTAATATTCTTATTTCCTACATATTCTGTTTACTATGGATTATCTCATTTAATCTTCCTAACAGCCCTATAAGTATTATAATTATATCCATTTTGCAAATGAGAAAATTAAGGTCCAGAGAGGTTAGATATATAAGTAGGTTTTAGAATTGCAATTTAAACTGAGGCATTTTCTTCAGAATCTGTGCTCTAATTACACTAGAACTTCCATATTTGCCAGTACAGTAATATAAAAATATCTGTTTTACTGAAACCTCGTTGACTTGGGGTAGTAGTGTTGTTTTAATCTTATCCAATTTGATGTATTTAAAAAATGACTTCTAATTCTTTTGATTCACAATTCTTTGGTTACTTGTGAAGCTGAACATTTTCACGTCTATATGAATTTTATAGATATAAAAAGGCATTTATGTTAAAATGACATTCTATAAAAGTTTTATAATTCAGAAGAAAAAAGTTTACTGTTAACTAACACACATAATAAATGACTATTTAAGCTGATAACTATTTGTTGTAGTAAAACTTCATCCACATTTAAGATTTATCTATAAACATTTATTTTTATGCCTTGATAATATGCATGGATAATATAAGAAAGTAGAAAAAGTTAACAGCCAGTAACCTCATTATTTCCTCTCGATCTCCGTGACTAGCATGTTCTGCCTGTATCTTCTGTCTTAATCGATTAATTTCTTTGTCCAGAATTGATGCAGATTTTTTTACTTCTATCCGCTCCGGGCAGATTTGTCTTGCTTGTGACATTTTCTCCTGAAAAGATAGATGTTTAATATCTTTAACAGTCTTCTTTGATATAAAAATTCATTATACTACTTCTGCCAAAATGTGCAAATTAAAATTATTATGTTTATAATTACACTTAATATTGATGGTATTTAAGCTTTATATTGAGAACACACAGTCCAGAGTCATCATAAATCTTCAAGAGAAAACTGCAGTACTGTGTATAACTTTAATAACTTGTAAGATATCCATAACTTCCTGGTGAAACAAATTCAAAGTAGCAGTTACAAAACACTGGCACCCAGGGCACTGAGGTCAGACATAGCTTTCCATGTGCTTCAGGATGGACTCTGACCAACAATATTATCGAAAACACAAATAAAAAGACCTTTACATTTGTAAAAAATTTTAAAATGCAAAGCACTTTTATACATAGTACTTATTTTGTGTTCATGACATTCTGTATTATTATTATCTTAAACAAATAGGGAAATGGATTACAAAGTTTAAACCATTTTCCTTAAGACATATAAAAACAAAGCTGAATTCTTCTAGTTAGGACAAGAATATCTTCAATTTATTCTCCTTTAAAAACAGAGCCGCTACTTAGAATTGTTAACAAGCATGTCTAGTAGGAACTAAAATCCAGCCCATCCCACACCCTAGCTACTCAAAGGAAGGGCTGCCTTTTTTTTTTTGACACAAAGCGGCTATTGTCTTGCAAAGCAGGGCATCTAAGGAGCTATGGTAGCCGACAGAGAGCTCCTTTTTTAAATCACTCAGGAGCTACTCAAAGGAAGGGCTGCCTTTTTTTTTTTGACACAAAGCGGCTATTGTCTTGCAAAGCGGGGCATCTAAGGAGCTATGGTAGCCGACAGAGAGCTCCTTTTTTAAATCACTCAGGAGTGTGATGTGGGACTGTCCAAGTCTTACTTATTTGAAGGTCCCAAAGCCTCTTCATCTATTGATTCACCCAAACACCTATTACTCTATACAAAACAGACATTCAGACTTGTCTGTTTTTTGAAACATGACATTAGGGAAAACACTAATAACCATGACTAAGGTTGTTAGTAAGCTGAAAGAAAAAAAAAATAGTGGATAACCTCTAATTCTTTCTCTTTCATATCCAGCTCTCGTTTCTTTTTATTTAACGTATCCAAGTGTTCTTTTTGTTTTTCTTCGTAATGCCGCTTCCCTCGTTTTTGGTTATCCACTTCAGAATCAGCAAGGTTTAATTCGTCCTGTTTAAATAAAGCCAAAATAATCTATAAGAAAAATGTTTTTTATTTTTTTTTCAGCACAGGTATAAAACTAATAACAACTCAATAAATCAACTAGGATTATGTTGCTTGAGGAGGCAAGTGTTAGAATTCATATCCATATGTGTCTGAATAGAAGTGAGGATTTTCCTAAAATTAGGAATTCACATTATATTCAAACTCTTATAAGAAGTCTACATATATTATGGTACTTTCAACTTTATTTTGGTTAACCAGGTAGTTTTGGGGGAATCTACGTTAGCCTTAAAAACTTAAAACCATGCAAGTGTTGGATATTTACAGAGGTCACCTGACAAAGGACACCTGGTTTTAAAAAAGGTGGGTGGGGGACAAGGGAAGAATGCAAAGAAATTTAAGACTGATTTATTTAGTCATTTCTGGAGGTATAAACTCATATCTTGAGCACAAAATATAATTGTGAAGTCGCTTCCTAAGATCACTTTAAAACTAAATAGTAGTAGACTATCATAAGGTTAAGGTATATATCATAATGTACAGGAATCACTGGAAAAAAAAACAAGGGGTATAGTTAAAAAAATAAGAGATAAAAAAGGAACACTAAAAATTACTTGGCAATCCTAAAGGAAAGAAGAGAGAAAATAAGAACAACAAAAACTAGATGGTTGAGATACAAATAGCAGCTAACTACTAGTTCATGATGAAATATGGAATTCTTTCTTTTTAAGATCAAGTGCAAGGGAAGGATGCCTAGTCCCATCGCTTCTATTCAACACTGTATTACAGGTCAACATTTACTGGATGTCCTGGCTAGTTCAATTAAAATAAGAAAAGGAAATGAAAAGCACAAAAATCAGAAAGGAAGAGTACAGTTTTACAGCTGTATTTAAAAGACACATGACTGTGTAAAAATTTCAAAAGAAAAGCTTTAAAAACTGATAAGTGAACTTAAAAAGGTCACTGTATACAAGGTCAATACAAAAATCAGTAATACTCATACTTGTATATAATAGAAATAATTGAAAAATAATTTAAAACATTTTCTGTAGCATGAAAAACAATATCTAGAATATGCAGATAACTCTTACAACTCAAAAGACATATAACCCAGTTGTAAGAAGGGCAAAGATCTGAACAGACATTTCTCTAAAGAAGATATACAAATGGCTAACAAGAACATAAAAATGTGCTCAACAGTTATTAGCCATAAGGAAAATGCAAATCAAAATCACAAGACACCAGTTCACATTCACTAGGATGGTTAAAATAAAAAAGGCAGACAATACCAAGTGTTGACAAAAATGTGGAGAAATTGGGACATCCAAACATTGTTGATGAGAATATAAAATGGTATAATCACTCCAGAAAACGGTTTCAAAGTCCCTCAGAATATAGCATAACCGCGTACCTTAGCAATTCCACTCCTAGGTATCTATCCAAGAGAAATGACAACATGTATCTACACAAAAACTTTTACACAAATGTTCACAGCTGCAGCACCCACCCAAATTTCTATTAACTGATGAATGGATAAATAAAATGTGCTATACCCATTCAATAGAATATTATGAGGCAACAAAGAAGAACGAAGCTCTGATAAATGCTACAACATAGATGAACCTTAAAAACATTATGCTAAGTGAAAGAGGCAGTCACAAAAGATCACATATTGTATGACTCTACTTATATTAAATGTCTAGAATAGGCAAAACATTATGCTAAGTGAAAGAGGCAGTCACAAAAGATCACATATTGTATGACTCTACTTAAATGTCTAGAATAGGTAAATCTATGGAAACATGAAGTAGATAAGTGGTTACCAGGGACTGGAGGGAAGAGAGAAGGGGAGTGACTGCTGTTCAGCATGGGTTTCTTTTTTAGGCGATGAAAATGTTCTAAAATTGATTGTGGAGATGGTTGCAAAACTCTGTGAATATACTAAGAACTATTGAACTGTACACTTTAAAATGGATGAATTCTATTGAACAATATATAAATATTGATTAGATCCTTTTGAGTTTTTCTATATCCTTGCTGATTTTTTAGTTGTTCTATCAATTGTTGAGGGAGTTCTACCAGATTTTGCTTCTTATACTTTTATGCTGCAGCTCTGGTGTTTGAGCACACATATTTAGGACTGCTATGTATTCCTGGTGGATTAACCTTTTGTCATTATATCATGCTCTTGTCTGTCTCTGGTAATTTTCTTCATTTTTGAAGTCTACTTTATCTGATATTAATATAGCTGCTCCTACTTTCCTTTGATTGATATTTGCAATATATATCATTTTCCATCCTTTCACTTTCAACTTGCCTGTATAGCCATATTTGAAGTGAGCTTTTGACAGACAGCACAGTCATGTTTTAATCTACTCTGCCTATATCAATTACCTAAGACAATAAGTTTATTTAGATCATTTGCAGTTATTCTTGTGTAATTATTCCTGTTAGAACTTGAGTCTTTCATTTTTCTTTTACTTGTTTTTTATCTGTCTTCTTTTTCCTGCCTCATGTGTGTTATTTGAACATTGTTATAGGATTCCATTTTGATTTATTTATAGTATTTTTGAGGGCGACTCTTTGTATAGTTTTTTTAGTAGCTGCTCTAGATATTACATTATATACATCTAACATCAGTCTATCAGTGTCATTATTTTACCAGTTTGAGAATTACAAAGATCTTACCTCCCTTTGTATCTCTTTTCCCTTCCCTATTTTTAATGTAATTATCCCTTCCCCATTAGTATAAATATCTCCTCTACATACATTTAGAATCATCACACACATTATTTTTGTTTGCTCTCTAAACATAATTTTATAAATTCAAGAAGAAAAGGAAATTCCATTGCATTTACCCACATTTTTATCTTATATTTCTTCCTTCCTGATGTTACAAGATTCCATCTTTAATTGTTCCCAAAAATTTTATAAATTCAAGAAGAAAAGGAAATTCCATTGCATTTACCCACATTTTTATCTTATACTTCTTCCTTCCTGATGTTACAAGATTCCATCTTTAATTGTTCCCAACAAATTTCCTAAGTTCGCCTTCACCTGAGAATGTCTTGACTTTTCCTTTATTGCTAAAAAATATTTTTGCTGGACATGGATTCTGGGTTGACAAGTTTTTTATTTTAGCACTTGAAAAATGCTGTGCTACTTCCATCTGTCCTCCACAGTTTCTGATGAGAAATTTGCCATCATTCAAAATATTTTTTCCATATAGGAAAAAATATAGGTAAGGTTTCTCTCTTGTTGTTTTTAAGACTTTGTCTTTAGTTTTCAGAAGTTTGACTATAATGTGTCATATTGTGCATTACTTCAGGTTTGTTCTGTTTGGGGTTTACTTACTTTCTTTAATCTGTAAATTAATATTTTTTGCCAAATTTGCAAAGTGTTCATCAATTATTTCTTTGAGTACTTTTTCAGCCCTGCCCTCTTTTTCCTCTTTCTGAGACTTTAATGACACAAAAATGTTAGCTATTTTGTTATAGCCTCACAGGTCCCTAATGCACTGTTCATTTTTTTTTTAAATTTGTTTCAGTCTTTTTTTTTTTTTTGCATCAGTCTATTTTCTCTGTTGCTCAGATTTATAAGGGATAATAAGAAAATACTATGAAAAACTTCATTTTCAACATATTTGACAATTTAGGTGAGAAAGTAAAATCCCTAAAGATACAAATTACCAAAACTGATCTACATGAAAAAGAAAACATGAATAACTCATTATCAACTAAAGGAACTTTATTCATATTCAAAAACCATCTCACAAAGAAAATCACAGGCCAAGATGGCTTCAATGGTGAATTCTATTAAATACTTAAAAGGAAGAAACAATCCCAAATCTGCAAAAACTTTCCAATAAGAGAAGAGGAAGCGCTCTTGAACTCATTTTATGAGGCCAATAAAGCCAGACAAAGACATCACAAGAAAAGCAAATCACAGACTAATTAATGAACATAGAACTAAAAATCTTTAATAAAATTTTGACAAACAGAATCCAATTAAAAGGCAATTATGACCAAGTAGGGTTTGCAAGGTTGGTTTAATATGTGGCAAAACGCCAACACCATTATTCTCCATGTTAATAAAGAAGGAAAACCATATGATTACTTTAGCAATAATCTTATTTATTGCTAAGTATTTAGCCAAGAGAAATAAAAACTTATGTTCACACAAGAACCTATACAATCACGTTGCTGCTTAATGACGTTTTGGTTGAGAACAAACCACATATATATGACAGTGGTCGGAACCACAGGGTATACTATATAGCCGGTGTGTAGTAGGCTATCCCATCTAGGTTTGTGTAAATACACTCTGATGTTTACACACAACAACAAAACTGCCTAATGACGCATTTCTCAGAATATTTTCCCCATGGTTAAGCAACACATGACTGTGCTGAAATGTTTATTGTAGCTTTATTCATAATCACCCAAACTGGAAATCACTCAAAGGTTCCTCAATAGATGAATGGATAAACAAAGTGTGGTACATCCATACAGTGGAATTACTACTGAGCAATGTGAAGAAACAAACCATTGATACATGTAATATGGATAAATCTCAAATACACCATGCTAAATGAAAAAAGCCAGACTCAAGAGGTTACATACTATATGATTCCATTTAAATGACATTATGTAAAAGGCAAGACTAAGGGTAAGAGGAGGTCTAACTAGAATGGGGCAGGATGAGGGAATTTTGGTGGATGACAGAACTGCTCTGTATTCTGATTCTTGTAAAAGGATTCTTGTTAATAACATTCCTCTTGGTTTCTGGGTAAAGCACAACTCTGTGCACTTGTCGAAACTCATAGAAGTATACACCAAAAAGAGTGAATTTTACTATATATAAATTAGAAGAAAAAATTTTTAAAGTAGTATTTTAAAATAATGCAGATAAGAGAAGATCAAGAACCATGGAAAAATGCATTACTCACCTATTCTAATTATTAAAAATATAGCTGTAGAAGAAAAAATTTTTAAAGTAGTATTTTAAAATAATGCAGATAAGAGAAGATCAAGAACCCTGGAAAAATGCATTACTCACCTATTCTAATTATTAAAAATATAGCTGTAGTCATGACAAAGACACAAATGTTGAAGAGATGTGAAAGGTTAAATAAAATTAATTCATGAAATGTGAATGGCAATAAAGCAGTATTTCTAAATATTATATGTATCACTTCATATATGTGATCCTGAGTTCAAGTATAACTAAATTAATTAACTGAATGTTACAAGTACCCATTCAATTATTTTGCCTCATAATTTCATATATGAATGTGGCCGAAATATACTTTCCCTTATAAGGCAAATTCCCATTTTCCATTAATAATATAAAAAGATTTTAAAGATGATATATGCACAGTCATCAATTATGGCAACTGTTCTCTAACACCGATTTATAGTTTGACAGCATTATAACCAATTTAGATGTTTTAAAAAATACATATATTTCCAGACTCCACATTTGGAGATTTCATTTTAGTAGGTCTGGGATCCCTGAATCTCGATTTTTAAAACGGTTCTTAAGAATCATCAAACTAAGATTTAGACTGTCAGATTGTTTGTTCATTTGGTTTGGTACACAATGTCTTATTCACTAATGTTCAGATCAGCTTTCTCTGTGACAGCTCAAAACTAGAAACCCAAATGTCCATCAACAGGTAAATGGATAAACAAGTTGTGGTATATTCATACATGGAATATTATTCAGCAACAAAAATAAATGAGTTATTGATTTAAGTAACAATCTGGATGAATACCACAATTTTATTTAAAACCAAAAGGGAACCAAGAGAGCATTTCATCTAATTTTATTTTAATGATATGTAAAACAGATCTAGTCATAGGAAAATGCAGTTAATAACATACCTCTTGGTTTCTGGGTAAAGACTAAAATAGATTAGGTCAAAAATTAAACTTTGATGTCATCCTAAACCTGTAAAATTTCTATGCTTTAAGAAGTTATAACCTTTAAATAATAGGCTAAGGGCTGGCTAGTTCGCTCAGGTGATTAGAGCACAGCCTTATAACACCAAGGTCATGGGTTCAGATCCCTATACAGGCCAGCCTCGCGCTTTAATTGGTGAAAGGGTGTTGG